CTGCCGGCCAGGGTCAAACCACTACAGGGCCCTTAGATCAGCTGCACATCAGGTGACCAGACAGCCTCGGTGTCTCACTAAATGCCACCTCTCGTCCCTTCCCACAGTCCCTGTCCTGGCGACAAGTTGATATAGCATCCCTCTCTGAGATTAATGGGACCAACACGACATTAGCAAAACAAACGAGTTCTCCACTGACAGTGTGAGTTCAGTATGCACCATTTGATTTCGGTATGTCTCCGAAGTAAACTATGCAATAATACCTAATTTATATATGTTACTACTTTTTGCAGAATATTTAATGAATTTTCATTTAGTGGAAAGACATAGTAATTTTTTCACTCATTTTGGTATAAAAAATTCTATATGGTTAGACATACTCTTGCTACTGTAATTATAATACAAATATTTACTTTTCTAATTTTATGAACTAGTTAGATTTACCTAATGTAGGCATTTAGTAAATTATTGCTCCAACATTTTTACTTAAAACTGTAAGGAGAAAAAAAGGTGCATTTTTATTGTAACATTTATTTTTTTTCCAAATTCCCATTAATTTGGCTTACTGGAAAGTCTTCATTATTGTACCCAAACTTTTAATTACACGTCTCAGATGTGTACTTTTAATTAACTGATGACATTTTCTTTGTTCAATTATTGTAGCTCAATATAACTGTCATAAACTTATAAATTTTAATTAAAGCTGCCCCAATCTCTAGCTATATGATGTTCACATAGGAATTTGCCAAAAGGCTTAGCAGTAAGTAAACCAACAGTGAATAATCCCTGAATTGCCAGTGGGATTTGTTTAACAAATTAACATTTGTGTGCAGATAATGAGGTTCTACAACTTAACACATCCAGCACAGATTTAGCACAATCATGTTCTAAAAAATGAGTAATACTCTGCAATTTACTTAATTAGTTATCACATTACTATTATATATTAGGTGGTGAAAGAGAACAGGATTTACACATTCACTAGAACACACACGTTCAGTAGAAGAGTATTGCATATGCTGCGTCATTTTCTTTGTGTCAGAATGTGATGAAACGTGTTTTCAGAATTCCTCTTCCTCAGTTTTTGAGCCAGAAGCCAAGAGTAAGGAAATTCCCTGACTCCCAGGGAAGTCTCCCAGCAGTGGTGACCCTGTAGAAGCTCATCTCCCTGTGAGGCTAAATTTACTGGCAGTCCCTAAGCTTTCCAAAGGGCATGTGTGCAGAATGACACTCATCAGATTGACTGCAAAGCTGTCTGAGTTGGATAATACACGAGAATTGATAAGAGCAATCAGAGCTGCTAAGGAAGAGAGCCATTCAAGTTGAAATAATCACAGGTCATCCACGTTTTTGTGGTTAGGGTTGGGATTGGCACTCACACAAAAACGGCTTCTGCAACTTCCAGAGGAAAAAGCTTCTTCATTCTGAACAAAAATAAACTTAAAAAAAGTAAGAGAAAATTGGGAAAATATGCGCAACTTGATTGCAGCAGTTTAGCAGAACAGCTCTCTGAGCCAACTGTATAACGGATGAAAGGTGTAATTGCTGCTTTTTGAGGAGATGGTTGTGGACATTGTAGTATGGGAGGCGGCGTGCACAGATAGAAATAGTATAATAGAAGAAATTAAGATGATACTAAACTGTCTTTATTTCAAAACAGTAATTTTATACTTCACAGAAAAGCGAGATAACCCTCAACCATAAAAGAGCATGCAACATACTTATTTCTAGCAGACAGGTCAACCTGGTAGGACATAATACAAATCTAGACACAATAGAATGCTTAATTTGTGCAACCATTAAGGAAAAAAAAAAAAAAGAGAAATTCCTTGTAATACAGAACTTTTTATTCCTACATGTAGCACTGTGCAAGAATAAAGTAATGTACATTAATGACTCTCATGAACCTGACAAAGCAGATCAACCCCACCTTGAAGGCTGAGACAAGTGAGCAAATGCTGCTCAGGTCTGGATTTCACACCCTCAATCCACCCTGGGAACAGTGTGTGCAGCCCTCGCAGCGAAATGTGAACTCACGGCACACAAGGACCAAATGACACGCTTTGCACAGTGGTGCATTCGACTGGAAAGAGGAAATGGTTGTTGCAAAACCAGCTGAGGAATTAAGCTTTATCAATGTAATTAGAGTTTTCGACGCTTTTGGGGAGTCAAGTTTAGCTCCCCTCTGTAAAGTACGTAAATGGCCATAGTATATCATGGATTAGATTAAACTAGGATAAGGGGACATCTCACTGACATGCTAGTTTGTTTCTGTAACACACAATTTATGGTCTGATATAGTTGAGAAATATTCTGCTAAGAAATTTCTTTATAACAGAATATTCACAGGGTCCAGGGGCTATGCAGGCAAGGAAGGCGACACATAGATCAATTTGAAAATTTTATCAGGAACGGTGGAGCCACTTTGATTTAGAAAAACATACAGTCTTTTTCTCCACATCTCCAGCACATGAAAGTTACCGAGTGGCCTTCAAGGCTTGGCTACCATGAATTGGAAATGGCACATAGGAAATCTGGCTAACTCGAAGTATGATTATTAACAATTTCAATAAAATAAGAAAGTGGACACAGCACAGCAGAAGAATATTCCTATTACCAGGTAAGCCCAGTAAGAGCCATCAGAACCAGATCTATGCTGGTCTTGGCATGCTTCGGCCATGCGTGGTACAGTTAACTGTAGTTACAGTTAAAGGTTCAGACTCCCAAAATTCAGGGAACTGAACAGCGAGATGCGGACCGTGGCGACACGTACACTGGCTGTCCTGATGCATTGTTGGTGTAGGCACATTTTCCTGTTTGAGATTAAGCAGAAAGAATGCTAATGCCTGCATCTCCAGGCCCTCTGTAGCAGCTGGGACCATGATTAACAATTTATCAGAATTATGTTGCAGAATCTGCTCATATGTCTCCTTTAGTCACTGCTGACCAAGCCCACTACACTAATTATTTCAGCAAGGCTGAGACATTTCAGAAGCTGGATAGAGCAGAAGAAAAAAACCAAAAACCCAGGTGACAACATAGCTGTGAGTACAGCAAGAGTCAGCTGAAAACATGGGCTGCTGGAGGTGAGTGAACCCTAAAGCCCCTGCCAAAAGAGTTAAACAAAACCCTGGGGTCTCTGCATGGTTCAGAATTGAGCCGAGGTACTAATTGGATGAAGCCTTTTAACACCACAGAAGTATCAATTAAATGCCAGGCATGTAAAGATGCAGGAGTAAACATCCTCTCTTCAGATGACAAGGAAGTTCTGCATGTCATTTAAATAACTCCTGACTTACTTTCATTCACTCGCATGTCTTCCCTAAGCATGTATTGATCTCACCACATTGACAAAAAATAAATCGCTGCTTATCACTTGTGTCAGTAGTTCCACCAGCTGTTAGAAGCAGATTCAAGTACAATTAATCAACTTCAAGTACATGTAATTCTCACATTCTAATATCTAATCATTACTAGTGATCTTAACTATGAACATTATTAACACTAAATATTCATAACCAAAAAAATCCTCTGTTTGGCACACAACAGATTGCCAGATTTGCATTCACTCAGATTTTTGCCACCACCTAAGAGGCTCCAGAGAATCCAGCATAGTGAGTGAAGCTAAATTACTAGCTTATATAAACTAAAGTTAATTACTAAGGAGTGCTGTGCAAAACACTGTGATCAAAATGCCCTCTGACAAAGAGACTGATACCTAATTCTGCATTACAGGGAGCTTGCTCTGTCCTAAACAGTTACATACTCCTGTTTTCAAGTCAGGCACCTGCACTCTTTCACAAATCAGGGTGTTGGTCACTTCATCACACAGCAGAAAAGAGTTCTGATAGGCTTCTGAGAGGAAAAGACTAGATAGCAAACTCTTCTCCAGATGTCCTACTTTGAATCAAATATTTAAATATTCCTTGGAGCAAAAAATAGAATTCAACATCTGCTTTCTCACAGAATTACTAAATTTTAGAGCACTTCTTATCACACTACCCCTCTCTAGCCCAAACACTAAGTGCATTATAGAAGCTCCAACAGCTTACGTGTCAGATCACTGTCAAATATCTACTTTTAGACAGTTTGCATAATCACTCTGAAGATAAGAGGTGTAATTTCAAATTCCTTCAGGAAAATTAGGGATCTGAGTTCTGATCAACCACACCTTCCTGAGAATTAGATGCATAAAATGCCTATTTTGTGAATTCCCTTAAGACAAAGGTAGAAGACTGAGGTCACCCAACTCTGTAATTTAAGAAAATATCTCTCTATATGCATGTAAAAATTTAGAGGGAAAAAGCAAGATGTGTGAGGTTGTTCTAGTTGTAGTCTGACTGGACTTGACACTTAAAAATTCCATTTCTATACCTCAACACGCACATCTTTATACTGAGTATTTACCTGCATGCTCCCTCTTCTGGGATGCAGCTTAATTCTGTTCACTCAGATACATGATTGAGAAGTACTACTGATTATAAAGTATATGTATGCTATATATTACACATCATTTAAGTACAGATAAAGCAATATATCAAGAAAAAATATCACAAACAAGGAAAAAAATAATCAAACAATTAAGGTAGGTGTAATAGTAAGATATAGCTGCTCAGAAATATTTACCGAGGAGAGAGGCTCCACAGGTTCCTCCGTTCTGGCAGTAATTGTAGCAGTGGTTAGTTTCACACCTTTCACCAGAGTAACTTGGCCAGCAGTGACATCGGGGATCCCCCTTCTCGTTGATAATGCACTTTCCTCCGTTTTCACAGGTTAATTTACAGGTATCATCTGCAGCAATCACACACACAGAGTTGTGTTCAGCAACCCCATTTCATTTAACTGGCGAAATAGAAACTTGCACCTTAAACAGAGCTACAGAGCTCTATCAATGGGGGAACGGGGGAAAAAAACAAACTCTTTTCAGAATGAAGACTATCAATTCTGTTTCCACAGTGCTAGGAAAAAATATTTTCTTAGGAGACCATAACCCAGGGGTTGCACCACCCTGTACAACGGGGCTGGGGGTGAGATGAGAGTTAGGCTTCACCCAAACGATGCCACGGGGAAGCTGACCTCCTTAGGGTGCAAGTCAGTAACGTCAGTATGAATTTAGTTAGTTTAAGAAATGAAAGAATGAACATTGGTTTCACCTGGGGGATTTCAGAAAGTTTCCCAGTCATTATCTGGTCACCTCAGTCCCTTCCTGTCTGATTTTTTGGAGCTCACTTCTACTCTCTCTATTAACAAAGACTCTTCTTGACTAAACCTTATCCAAAGTATTTAAAAGACAATTATTCAGCCTCTAAATCTCCCTCAAAAATTGATATTTGCATATTAACTTGTTGCTCCTAAACTGTATTTTCTGATTTATTCTTTTTCTGGTCTGTTCAGTCTGTACAATCCCTGCCTGCTGCTCGGCACTCACCAAGTCCTTACGGCAGAAGTGCCACCGTCTTAACAGTGAGGTAAGAGGTGACAAAAATTCTGACTAGGCCAGATTTAACCTTCCTATAAAGCTGTTTTGCAATTAGAGCTGTGCCTGCCTTGGAAACACTTTGAAAAATAAATCCATATTAATTTCAGTGAATAAGATGTAAAATCATTCAATGACACAGACAAGAAATTAATTACAGACTAACATACATACAGTGCTCAAACACCCAAAAAACCCGTAATCCTAAGGAAATAGATAAGTATTATTCCAGCCCAAAACTTAACTTTCTAGCAATAAGACTTTTCATTTCTCCCATAGCAAAACAAATCCCGTGAAGCCAGACTGCTTCCTAACTAATCCTACATTTGAGCATACGTGGCTTTTAACCAGAGGGATACCACAAACACGGAGAACTCTTCAGTAATGCAGCCACCAGATGCACGTATTTTTGGTGAATTAATCTGTTTTAAGTTAAACAGCTAACACAAAAGAGTTACAGCTCCCATTTGTCCCGTACTTGTTGAGGTCTACCATGGACTGACACAGGCACACAAACTCCTTTCTTTTATGTTTAAAGAAACACACGGCATAATAAGTGCAGAGTTTAAGAAGATCGGATATCTCTAGCTGAGCCTCCTAATACAACTGTGCTTATAAGCAGCCTTTCCTCTGGATGCACCCAGATCTCTCTTTTACCACTGCCTGCCCCTCCTCAGCAGGGTCTGGCTGCCACTGAGATGGTGCAGATGTAACCTGGGATCAAACCTATTGAAACAAAACTTCTGGGAGCTGATCATCTTTTCAGGCAGTTGCACCTTTCTCAAATTAAAACTAGAGAAGTTATGGTGGAGAACTGACTGCCACATTATAGTTTCAGGTGGCTTACAATAAAAATATGAAATATTGTATGCGCCTACTTTTTTTTTTTTGGTTTCCACCCCAGATATGTACATCTGCTCTAACAAAGCTACTTTGTATTTGGGAGTTCGAGGATGCCCCAGTGTTTTATTTTTTTGGGTGGCTCATTAAATCCTTCGATGTTCCATGAACCATTCTTCAGTTACTCATTACAAAAGTTGTTTAAATGGATAATGTAGCATATCTTATTGGAGAGAAGGTCTATTTTTGTTTTGCTTATCTTATCTGTTTTACTTATCATTAGTCATGAGTTTATAGAGCAGAACGTGGTAACACCAGAATAAATAACACCGAAGTGCAGACAAGTGCTCATTTTTATGAACCTTTCCGATGGCACATTAAAACATGATGTATTTCTCTTCCACAGTATCAAAAGACATATTTAGAACTATAAAACATGAAAGCTACCCTTAAACACACCAACAAGTATATGCCTTCACATTTTTAGGAAAATATACTGAACTAAAAATTGCCCACAATAATGATTTTCTAATCCAACTGGCTTTCAAAGATTTTAGGACACTTATATGTAATGTTTTTAAATGCAACACATGTTATAACTTTATGCAATGGTCAGCTGCAAGGTTCTTAAAAAGCCCATAAAAGTTCATAAAATCTGGTATCATCACAGGACTATTAATATTCATTACTGATTTTGATGTCTATAAAGCATTTTCAATTCAAGAGTTTCAACAGAAATCTAATAAGAAACACAGAAAAGTTTTTGGACTTGAAGCTAAGAAACAGGTCTGTAAGATGTAATGGAGAAGTCAATTTTAAAATACTATGTTAGACTTTAACAATATAAAAGGTTTAATGCTGCTGCTTTGTTGTCTGAAGGTAAATACAAGAATCAAATTACTCTTGCTGATTCACATCGACCACGTACAAAGAGGGATCAGGTGCTTTTGTGTGGGAGACAGGAGTAGAATGGTCCCATATGAGAAGATGGGAAGAAAAGGAATACAGGAGAGAATCACGGAAGAATTGTTATAAAAAGCTGAATACTATTAATTTGAATTACTGAATAAAGACCTCTGAAAGAAGAGCTGCGAACACCTGGAACAAAGGTTTTAAAAAAATTATCAGACAAGTTTCTATGTGAGGTCAATCCACTACTGCTCTGAGCTTGCTGGAACTTGGACTCAAAGACCTCTCAGCTGCTCTTTTCACTTCTGAAATGACATATATAATTTCATTTGTTATCCCACTTCTATTGTAGCTACTGGACCTCTCTAACATGAAAGAAAGGGAAGGTTTACAGGTCATGTAATTTTACATATTCTCTCCAAACCTGCTTATCTAGTCTTTTCTGCTGCCTTGATTTGCCCATTTCAATTGAAATATATCTTTAATAAGGAAATAAATAACTTTGATTTGTGGTTTGTAGATTCTTCGTGAGAAGCACAGATTCCCTCCCCACACTGGAAAATATTCACTTCATGGGCCAGATAGGTATTTGCTCTTCTCTCTGCTCCAGCCAAGGGTATAGCTCATCCTTAACTGAGCTGAATGCACCTATTAAAGAGAGAGTGTAGTGTTCTAATGTTATTGTAAGGTTAGAATCATAGAATCGTTAAGGTTGGAAAAGATCTTTAAGATCATCAAGTCCAACCACCAACACAACAACCACCACGACCACTAAGTCATGTCCTGCAGTGCCATCTCTACATATGTTTTGAATGTCTCCAGGGAGACTCTACCACTTCCCTGGGCAGCCTGTTCCAATGCTTCACCACTCCTTCAGTAAAGAAATTTTTCCCAATATCCAATCTAAATCTCCCCTGGCACAATTTGGGGCAATATCCTCTTGTCCTCTCACTTGTTACTTGGGAGTAGAGACTGATGCTCACCTCACTACAACCTACAATCTTTATAAGGTTGTATAAATCTTCTTGTCCCTCCAGATGAGGGTCCATTTGCCAGTTTTCCATATGCTTAGATCCATCAGAATAAGTTGTAATGGCCAAGTTTTTTTCTGAATGCTTTAAGACAGAACCTCCTCTTTGTTTTCCCTTCACATTTTGTGCTTCCTTAAAAAAAACCTGTTTGCTTTACAATTTTAAATGGAAGAGAAAGGCAAAGGAAAAGATGCCCAGCGAGAAAAATCTAAGACACCTGCTGTAAATGTAACCCATTTCCTTCTGTTCTGGGAAATACCAGTCCCAATAGGAACCCCTTTGTAAATACAGAAGATACTGCTTTGAACGTAAGAATTATTATTTTTTTCAAACCAAAAGCAGATTTCTGTGTGCCCCCCTTTCTGTTTGATCTCTAAAAAGACTGAAAGCAGGACAAAACCCAAGAAGGCAGCACGGATTGAACTGCCATAGCTTTTTGGTAGTACAGTTCCCCAAGGCAGACTTTGTGGGTGAAAAAGAAGTTGTATAAGGATTACTTCTACATCCCCAGGCAAAGCACTAAGCACTAAGCAGTGTGCAAGTCCCCACAGAAATGTGCTAAGGAGGCACCACGATAAATTCAGTGTTTCATCTCTGTTCAGAAGCAACACCAGATCTGAGTCCTTATAATTTTTCTGATGTGTTTTATTCAGCTAAGACAGCACAAATATATCCTTTTTAAAATGAAAATGATAAATGTGCAGCTACAAGATACGCAGCTCTTGGAAGCGTTCATTACTCTTGCTCATTCAGCTGTGGTATCCAGCTTTCCTCCTTTGCAAGTCTCTATTTTCATCCTCTTGGTACGTTTTTAGTTTCATTGAGCTACAATTAGATACAACAAATGTAATGGATGCAAATCCAGTGGTCTCTTTTAGGACAATGAAGTGGTACTTTGCCCCTTTGAAAACTAAAGGGCAGCTTCTAAACTGAAGAAGTCAGGCCTGTTATAGTCAATAAATAAACCACAAAAGAACTGCGGTCTGTCAGTCATAATCATCTAGGGAGAAATGAGATCGAAGCTTATCTAAGAACACATAGGAACTCGCTTTCATTTTGTTATAAAAACATTCCGAACGATACAACACACATATGTTATAACATCTCCAGCTTGAAAAAGCCAAAGCAAACCCAAAAGCTGTTTCTCATCAGTTGTGTGAGATGCTGGGGAAACGGCTGTCTGAAGCAATCTGGATTCAGTCTTAAAGAAAGCTACTGAGGATTCAACGTTTAGAATTCCTTACATAGGATTTGTGAAGAAAAAGCAACTCAATGGATCAAACCAGTAGTAATACTGTGCAGAATTTCAAGATGTAGCTCAATTTTCTTTTGTTAAAAAAACCCTCAAGAAACAACAGCAATCCAATGAACAAGAATCTGAGTCAGTTTTGGGGACATAGTCAGAAGAAACAGAGCAAGACAGAGATTACCTCTCAGTCACCAACCTTAAGGTAGACAGATTAATAAGAAATTGTACAAAGTGTGTAAGGCATTGTTACAATAGTCATGTTCAAAACTACCAAAGTGAAGGACAGCACAACCATGTTGAAGATTATCATTAGTAGTTGGAAGACATTTTTCACAAGGACACAGACATATGCATTGTCAAAAAAGAATCTTCAAATAGACTCTCCTGGGGGGCACTATTCCAGAGGGATGGGAAGTGGAGATGACTGTCTCTTTTTGACACTAAGTCATAGAAATGTACTATTAGCTTCCTTACTAGATTTTAAAAGACCCAAAACCTTACAGACACTAAAAAATACTATAAATGTTCAACATACTACTGTTTACTATTGTAACTTGAATTACGTATTATTCAAAAAGTAATAGTTTAGTCGAACTAAGATCTTGATATCCACATTTACTAATTTGTGAAACTAAAAGACTTCTTAGATGAAATAGCTGCTGTGTAAGAATAAAACCACCAGTACAAGTCACTCCTATTGCTAATTGAATGACATCCATAAATTAGTGGTAATATATTTTTAACATATTAAATGTATGTAAATTGTTGTAACTTATCCGTTATGTAATACTGTAGTGTGATCAAACAAGTTAAAAAACCAAATGAATACCCAAGTTAAAAAGTGTTTTGACAGGCAGTCATGTCACAAATTAAAATCTTCCAGATATCATTCTTCTACGGACAAATTAGAAGACCACTAAAATCAACTGGAATTTTTCAAGCGACTTTGAATAAGGATTTTATTGCAGACCGACAAAATATATGACTATATAACCTGCCTTGGGATTAATGTCAGGTCACTCTCCTACAACATATAGGTTTTGACAGTCCTGTAAGGCAGGAATTGCCTTTGGGTTACTGACATCCATAACTGCCAAAAAATGCTCTTAGACAGCGAAGACAATATAATGTGAGATTTAAACAAGGTGAGTGTATGTGTTTTAGAACATTTTACGTGTTTTCTAGCTCTTCATAAGAAAGACTATGTATCCTACATTTTTTTTATTTCATACAGTGTAACTTCTGAAGGAAAATAATCTGGTTTAGAACTTGATTTGTCTTTTGTTTGCAGGCTATTAGTGACCTATTAATGGCAAGTGGCTTGTCAGCCAGTCATTAATTATAAACCTGTATTAATTCAAGGTGCTGATCTTCAGGTCAACTCTGATCTTTCCAGGAATCTCTGCTGATCCTTGGAAGCATAAGTGGAGCGTCAGCATGAAAGAAACGTTTAACATCCACTTCATACTTTTGTTTAAGAAGTCAAAACAGTGCAAAAACATACAGCTGTCAGTGTGCTATGATACTGAGGCTTGTTTCAGTTAACAATTTAGAATCTGTGAGGCTACACAACTTGCAAGCTACTACTACAAAAATAACACACAAGAAAAAAGGTAGGAAAAAAGCCTATACTAGACATTGATTGAATATAATTGTAATCAGAAAAGTAAGAAACACTTACTCAGCAGCCCTTTAAAAAGGCATAACAGATACTACAGTTGCGTGAAGATGCTGAAAATTACTATGTATTAAAAATGCTTATCTAGGCATTTTCTGTCTATTCATAAAAATCCTAGAACATCAAAATAATTTAAAAGCCATGTCAGATCTAAAAACCTACCTTCCCGAAAACTCTACCACAGCATAACCTTTTGTCCTCCTAATAAAATTTCAGCGTTACTGAAATTATAGGTTCAAATTACTACCAATCACTTTTTTTTTTTTATTTGTCCCATCTTCAACCCCTACTCAGTAAAAACAGGTCATTTGAAATGTTTTTCAGGTGGTAGTGTTTCAGCAGAAAATCTTGATGAGTACCCAGCTCAGATGAACCAGGAGCTGCCACCTGGAGGGGCAGGGAAGGTAGATGCTCTCTGAAGACACAGGGCACTGTGTTACACTAATTTCTCTCAAGAGTTAGAAACCTTAGTATGTTATACTAATGTTTTCTATTACATCAACTTCAGTGATATCACTTCTCCCCTTACGGTGAAAATTGTTGTAAACCAGCTATAAACTAATTCATAGTTAGGTAAATATGCATTGATAGCTTTTAAACCAAGGGTGTACAGAAATAAAACTTCCATTTACTGTATTTTTGCTAAAACATGGTGTAGGACATATAAAAGTTGGTAATGTAAATACACTGCATACAATGTACTCCTATATAAAAAAATACATGAATGACTGTCTTGACTAGGACTAGTTTTCTAATATTATTTTACTCTAAATAATTCTTACATTTCTTGATACAGAAAGAGAAATGCTGCTAGATAGGAAAACTAATTAATATCACATTCCAAACCACCACAACACTGTTGTGTTAATCCCGTATTTAAAGACTAGGCAGCATAAATAAGTGAGATTTTCTCCACAGAATAAAGGCAATTTAGATAAATTAATTTGATTGCTAAATTGAGCATTTTAAATACTGAGGATCTCACCAAAATATCTTACTTACAAAATCACTTATTCTTCTGAGTCTAGAATTAAACCTAAACACATCCTAATACAAATCTTACTCTAGGATTTGTGGAACTGTCTAAAATTCAAGCTGTCTAAGAATTCATTCCAGCAGTCTGACTACCTTAGGTTTAGCCTCAATTAGAGTGGGAATAGTTCTAGGGTGCTTAATAATCTTCCATGGAAAAGAAGCTTTTTTCCCCTCCCTAGAATAGAGCAAGAGCTTTAACCATCAAGTATCGTTTCCTGTGTCTTTATATTAGTCATTACAGATGTTACTGAAAGTTTTAATTTTAGATAAAAATACTTCAGCACTTTTTTTTTGTCTGTTACTTCAAAGTCATTATTATCTGCTATGTTGCTCTTACTGCCTTTTGACTATTGTTGCAATCTAAGTAGAAGTGTTTCTTTTAGCGTTTAAGTTTTTTTTTTTCGCATGAATGACTACTGTTTAATTTGGAATCCAAAATGCTCCAGAACTTTTCAAACTTATTTTAGTCTCTCTCTATATATACAAAAATAGATAAATATTTATATATATGTATGTATAGATAGATATAAACATTCACTTTTAAATAACATCTTGTATAAGTTCAGCTGAAAGCTCAATTTTCATTTTGATGAATATAAACAGAGATTTTTTTGACTCAGGGACTTTGCTTCTCCATATTTCGTTTCCATTTCAGATAAGTAATATGCATATTGAATGTCACAAAGCTCTTGACTCACAGACAGTCTAGCCTTTTGCAATAACAAAAACTCAGCAGTTATTTATTTTCTGGTTCTCACGCAGTTTTCAACACCTACCTAAGAGGCTTTGATCAATACATGTCCCATTCACCAAAGTTTTTCCTTCTGGACAAGCGCATGTTGCTCCAAAAGGGTTGAGTAAACAAATGAATTCACATGTCAGGTCCAAGCATGGATTAGGCACTGTTTAAAAAGACAAAATATTAAAAAAATAATATTTTTTTTAAGAATAAAACTGTATTCTAGAAGTAAATAAAAATAATAAGATTTAAAAAATCTAATAGACTTCCAGTTTTCAGAATATCAATGGCTTGAACAGTGAACGCATTCAGTCAAATGGCAGTGTAAGATACACCAGGATAGAATTTATTCTTGTAACAAAAGAATGTTGCAGTAGTCTGCAGTAAAAATCTTGTCTGTGGCTAGAGGGATTTGTATTCAGAGCTCTTCTAATTTTTTTTTCTACCTCATCTGCAGTGCAGGTACGCAAGGCAAGCATTTGTCCAATGTCCTTTCAAAGGAGAGAAAAACGCATCAACAAATCTAAATCAAACTTACATAAATAAAAATGACTAAATCTATCTTCAGTTTGTAAAACCAGGCTGTTTTATACTTATACAACTTGGTTACTTTTTTCCCCCGAGATGAACCTGCTCAATATTGAGTTTAAAGTAATTATGCTTACTCACAGTCCATTTGTTTGTAGCGATGAAAAATCAAGGCACTTTTTGCTTTATCAACATCCACTCTTAAATATTCTACAAGACTCCTGCCAAATTTGTGTACTTTAAATGCACCATTTTTAGGACCAGCTCCATATATGTAATCCTCAAAAATATCAATTCTATGTGGATGCAGTAAACCTTGAATAGAAATGAATAATAAATAAAAATACATATTCATACTTAAATAACAAATGACTTTGGATAATTTTAATTGCATTATTGCAATTACCACCTAAAGACATTATTATTCAAATAGCTTATTTTGTAGCTACAAAGACTTCAAAAAACTCATCGTCTTAAAAGGAACTCTTTTCATACTACAAGCAATGAAATCTCAAGCTTTGAATTAGCTTTCCACACAATTAAGTCTCAGAAACTGGTTTGTTATTGAAAAGTAGGGAAATCCTACAGTAACAAGTAGCTAATTACACCATACTTAGGTACGATACTTGAACAAGGTGTATGTGACAAGAAACAGATTATTTTGCTGTACATAAAAGATACTATTCTGCCAAAATGTTTCTCGATCTCCTTAACATATTTGAAATGCTAGCTTTCACACTACGCTTAATGTATACTTATACTCATGTAATCACAATGTTATCCAATAATACCTATGGTAATGATTAGATAACAAATGGGTTTGCCCATATCACCATATCTTTGTTTCCCTAAAGTAAATTTATCAGATTATCTTATAGCTAAAATTATTTCAGCTTAAATATCTATTTGTTTAGATAATAACTGAAGTACTATCTAACAAAAGCTAAGAATATTACTCAATAATCACTGCTTTTTGCTTACATAGTTTATCTGAATCGTGAAGTTACTGCCAAAAACCTTCCAAAAGAACAGAAATCATATTATTTTAAAGGTCTTCATACCTTGTTTAGTGCTCACAGACACAACTGAATCAGAACCATCAAAAAGAACGCTGCCAATAACAGATAGTTCAAAATCAGCCCAGAACAAACGCTGACTGAACTGATCAACTACGAGACCTACAAAGAAAATACAGTTTAAATAGGTATATATAACCTGACTCAAAATTTCGTATTTTTATGGAACAGTACATTTTTATGTCATTCATATTCCTGTGAACACAAAATTTGGTGTCAATGAAAAAACGTGACTGAAAACCTCCCATCATTCTTCACCTATTCTTCCAACGCCAGGACCTTTTCAAAACCACTATCCTCAGCAGGTAAGGATATATACAGATGGATATTAAATTTATAGAATCCAATCCTGTAATTTGCTCTACTAACAAAAATCTATTACGTCAATAGATTCCTCATCAGTGGCACCAGCGTGTCCACCCGTTAAATCAAGGCACTTGGGTTTCACACGGTCTTCCTAACCCATCCTGTTGACACAAGTAAATAATTGTGTTGCTTTTTTTTTATTAATTACCAATACTTCACATGTAGTAAGTACTAGGGAATCAAAAAAATCAGATTATTTTAATTACACTAGCGCTGCAACACTTAAACAGCAATATTGACAGATGTGTATATTCGTATATATACAAAAAGAAAGCACAAGAGTGAGTGACTGACAGCACAAATGGGAATAAATAACGTGGTGACTACTCAATCTCTAGGCAACAACTAAATAGTTAAATCAAGCAGTCTCTGTTTCATAGAGGATGAATAAATGATTAATATGCCACTTTAGTTCACGTCCAAAGCTTTAGCCTGAAAAAATATTTGAAACATGAAATAATTTTGTTCTGAGCTTTTGAAGCTGTAGCGTATTTTTAATAAGAAAGGGGGAAAAAATGTATTTTTCTATTTATGTAAGTAGGTAAGTCAGAAAAAATACATCAAAAGAAATATGTAAAGCAAAAGTACCCCTCTTAAGGCCATAAATTAATCACCTACAGATAGATAAGAGGAAGCACAAGAAGTCTGATGCATAGATCAGTAAAATATGTTTACATTTGCCATTGCAATTTAAATAAAATCCCACAACTCTTCAAAACAAACACCTGTATTCAGGCATACAGACAAAGAGAATAATTTCTGGCAATGTGTCAGCTCTGTGTGACACATGGCACCTGTAAGGGGTAATATTTATAAGCAGTCCCTAGTCTCTACCTTTAAATTACTCTTCATATTTCAATTAGAATATTTAAATAACAAATAATAAATATGTAGCATTCTCAATGTATCTTTCAAAGTATCTGAAATAAAATGTAAAACAAGCACTTATTTTTGATTTATTTGTACAATACTTCTGAGATAGTAACTTTAATGTAAATTCTGCAAACACAATCCCAAGTGTTCAAACTCTCACTTGAAATACAAAAGGCATATTTAGAGATAAATTTAAGAGCAGTGGAACACAAATGCTCAGTAAAAATCTTAAACTTCATCTAAACAGTAGTAGCAAAGTCTCACTTGGGAAGAAAAGGCTTGAAAAATTTCTTTGCATTCCATCTACAAAGAGATGGATCTGTGTGAAATACCTGACAAAAAATTAAGAGACTGCATAAAAATCATCTTTCTATCATGAAGTAAAGGAAGAAGAGCACAGAAGGACACCACAAAAGTGGTTTCAGCCAGTCGCTACAGGAAAATGCAATACCATGGCAATGCATTTGAGAAATTCCCTCTTTGCACAGTCCGCTCATTTTTGGCAATTCTGTTAATTTTCTTAACATTGATTCTATTAATCCTTGTAAGGAGACAGAATTCTGGTTAAATGCTTATATGAAACTTTTCTATATAAAATACATCAAGGAAAATTTTATGAAGAAAAGCTCTTGTGGTTCGGTTTCCAGTCAGGGAAGAAGTAAATACTTGTATTTTCAAAAAAGTTTGCTACCTTTACTATCTACAAAATCCAATAAAGTCACTAACCTTATACTGATGGAAAAAAACCCAAACAAAACTAAATCCAAAACTCCACCAGGTTTAAATATCCTTTCCTGAGCAGGAAAGTGATGACTGGCTCTGTAGGACATAAACCTGGCAAGTAACCATACTGATAATAAGGGTCAAAAAAGCACAATTCCAGCAATTAGAACTAAATCTAACAATTTGTGTATCCGATACCTTCACAAAGTTTTATCTAAGTTCATCAAAGGATATGTAACGACTCTGACAAACATAAAATTCTGCTGTCTTTCAGTCTGAATAATCAGAAGCTTCTTACTGAATTTACTATTGTCTATGTACTTTTTATTATTACTACTATTGTGCTTTCTACTTACCTAAGTAGCATAAGCTTCCTCTCCGGAAAGCTTTCCTTATCACATATGTAGTTTCTTAATTTGCTACATTTCTATTTAATCATGACAATAAATAAAGTTTCCTTTAAGAGATGTGTGTAATTTGCATATACAACACCATAAACGCACTATAGCATGGGACTTAACAGTCTGTTTAAATACTATTACTTGTTGCTGTGATAGTAGCAGCTTCTGAGATGCTGAGATATTCAGATAGCATCCTCTTGAAAGAAGCTGGTGTTTCAATTATGCCTACCAAAGTTGGACAATCCCTCATTTGCAATGCAATAATAACAAGTTATCATTGTAAGCCTGGAGAAACATCAAACATTGCACGAGAAACTGGGTCATGAACAAATCATTTGTGGTTTCAAGACAGGTTGCTGCTATTTAAGAGAGACATATTTCATCCTGGATTTATCACTTTCTTTGTCATAAAAATTATTTTTATCCTGCCAATGGAGTCTTAATGGTAATTCACAAGTTCTGTAAAATACCGAGATAATTAGGTTGCTGCTGCGTGGAATACCTAAACCTTGCTTTAAACTATTTGCAGCGTATTCAGTAAAGTAACTAGAAGAGGCCATGAGATTTCATATCCATTTGTTAAATGTGTCTTACCACTAACTGGTGTTCACTTAACTTGATTTGCTTGTGCATTGTTACTGAATAAATCCCATTTTAACTGATTACACATAGTCCTTTGATACTGCTTCTGAACAAAAAGAATATGTATTTTAAAGATTTGGGGTTGTTGATTCTTTTCGGTGCTTTTTTGTTTGTTTTTGGTTTTGTTTGTTTTTGCAAATTGAGAAACTGGAATTCAGCCAAATTTACACCGAGTTAGCAAGTGTCATGTAATTACGAAAAATGGATAAGCTGTATACCTGTAGGTCTCTGTAAATTCTTTTGAACTAATATCCTTCTCAGAGTACCATCCATAGATGACTCCTCTATGTGAGAGCGATCTCCAATAACTGTCCAGTACATCATCCTAGAAGGATCAAACACAAAAAATAATTGATATTAAACTATTATAAGCCTTTAAATCTACCTTAAAGATAGGAGGTAACTGATCCTGATTTACAGACAGGAAAGTTGAGTAAATGACTTGGAAAAGTAAATATCATTTTAGTTCTCTTACTCAACATTTTTGTTTGAATTGCCAAGACAGGGTAATATTGCAACATACATACCCCTTTTGAGGATTTACAGCGATTGCGTACGGTTCTCCTGCCATGCTTGTGAGGAGCCTTGTACAGTTTGGTCCGTTCAATTGCCCTACGTTGATGGAGTATCTCAGACTAGTCCAATGAGTTGTGTAGTAGCTGAACCAATGCATTCTGGAATGATCAGTCCAGTAAATATTTCCAGCAACCCAGTCAACAGCAATGCCCCTAGGTCTTTTGAATTCTGGGCACTGAAAGGAACAGATGTTAAAGTCAGATTTGCAGAAATGACCTTTCACAGCAGCTGCATGGTCACGCATTTATGTAACCTTTTACAGTTAAGTAACTTTTACCTCTAATGTGGTGAAATATTAAAAACCACTGCATTGGAAGGACATAAATGCCACCTGTAGGACATAAGCTCTAAGTGATCTGCTGACAAGTCTATTCAATGCAGAGGAACAAGTCAATGCTTCAAAACTGTTTTCTACATTAAGAAGAAGGCACTTAGGCAGGAACTACTCGAAATACTGATACTGAAGCAAAAGAATGTTACATGTTAAATGTGGTAACTCGAAAAGAAAGGAAATGCGAGAATGAAGATCATACAACTATTATATTCCACGTGGAACTACAGTACGATGTCCCATCCCAAAGCCCTCAGAGAAAATGGCACTTGAGACCATCCTGAGGTATGGCTGCCCAGCAGTCTGCCAAGCATAAATAAACCATTGCTTTTAGAAAACTGCATAAAATTACCTCTAAATTCTGAACAATACCAGTATACAATTGCAAGGAATTTTTTAAAATGCTTTCCTTCCCTTGCTGTTAACTGTTCCTGTGTTCCACTAGCAATTAAAACTAGAGTTAGTGCAATATCCAGCTTTGCATGTAAACAAGGCTTGACTGATTTTAAGTTTAAAATTATAAACTGTAGTTTCTCTGTCTTAAGGTCTAGATCCTAAAAAATGGTCCTCAGGATTGAAGTTCATATTGCAAATAAGAGACATCAATGAACGAGTCCATCTAAGGTCTACTAGAATTCCTGCGATAGGAGTAGAATCTTTAAAATAGCACTATCCAACTATTTCTAACATGAATGCAGCATATTGTAAAAAAATACAAGACCCGCATGAACTAAATACATATGCAATTGTTTGCCTGTTTACCTAAAATGACATCAAGTTAAATTCTGAACAAAAATATCTATTCCTTGACAAATGTAGCAATGGATACCACTGAGCTACTCAGCTAAAAGTCAGGAAAGAAAATCTTAAAATAACTTGTTTTTCTTCATGTGTCAGTTCCCTAATACCACAAGACATTTGTAGACTATTTTCATCATAAAATAAAGATAATTTCATTCTCTAGGTGAAATAATATTGCTGCGAGGGTGAATTTAAATAGTTCATTGCTCGTAAACCTTTAATTCTGCAAAAGTGTCATAGAATGCATGTTCTAAAGATATACAGAACACTAACTTTCCATTTAGATGAATACTAATGCAGCAAAATCAATCACTGTATTTACAAGACAGTATTGCTTTAAAAACAGGGTCAGTGATTTTTTTTTTTCAAGTGTAACAAAATAGTGGGCCATAATTCTCTGTTAAGAAATGCTACTGGCAGCATATGCTTCCAGAAATACAATCAGAATAAAGTTGTGTGGCTTTTTTTTTTTTAAGAGATGTAGCATTTGCTTGCAACAACCTCTTTTCTTCTTTGTTACATTATCTAGGTAATATTAGTGCAAAAGACAAAGATGCCCCCAAACGCAGGTATTTGCAGATAAGCATTATTGTAATTTTAATCCAAACTCCTTTTGATTCTGGGTAATATTCAGGCACTTGTGTCAAGAAGTCTCTCATACCTGGAGATCTCCAGTTACTGCTTTGGAGACCACAAGGGTTAATGGCACCGGCCTACAAGGCTGGGACCACATATTCTTTAAAAAGGAGAGCAGCTATCACAGAAAGCACAGTCCTTTCTTTGGCAAAAGACTCTGGAACAAGGTTGGGTTGCTCACTAACACCGACCCTTTCTCATTCTTCTCAACTACAGAGGAGAAGAGAAATTCCAGTAATGCCGACATGCATAATAAAGATCAAATGAACAAGGAGATAACCAGAAACGAAAAGCAGCCATCTGCTGTAAGAGATTAAAAAAGAGAATAAAAACCACTAGCTGATGCCATGGCTGTGTAATTCTCAGTTGTGTTCATTAAATTTCAGCCTACATCATATTTCTGATGTCTTATGTGTCTTCTCGTACTGTCTAGGAAAATTACTTACTGTAAATGAGCTTTAGGTAAAAGCTTATTTGGATTATGTTAATGCTGAAGAATGATTTTGCATACAGAATAAGGATGAAAATACAGGAACAAAACCATATTAATAGTTTCTGCAGTTATTTTAGTCCTCTTTGATGCTAAATAGTACATACTATGACTTACTAGACAAATTAGGGTTTGAAGCCTAATCGCCTTTTATTATAGTATGGTAGTGTCTGCACAACTATGGACCATGTCAGCTCGATGGCTTTCCATCAGAACTGCTGCCTGTAATAAAACCTGATTTAAAGGAGAAGGAAGGAAGGAAAGAGAAAGAAAAACAAAGAAACAAAAGAAGCTGCAGTAACATCTTGGATTTGGAAATCATTTTGATGTAATGATAGATTACAGAAAATTTTTCGGCCCCTAAAATTGAGTTTGACTGGAGAAAATGCGTTACATATTTTTTTTCAGGAATCCATCGCACCTTGTGATGGTTAGCATTTTAGCACAGAAAGAGTGAAATAAAAAAAAACTAGATAAATGCATATGAAGCAATATTTTCTCCATTTAGAGATGTTTTTGATCTTTTTTGGTATGGTATTGCTGCGGAATCAAGGAAAGTAAAGATTTATTGCTGCTTAAAATCCTCATTAAAAATGATAAGTTTTCCAATGCAATATTATTAGAATAGTAAAAATAAGTTAGAAACAATAATACTAGAAAACTTTCAGACTTTTATGTACCGTACCAGAAAATATTCATTGACACACGAGCAGCCCACTAGGTGCAATTGTTCACCAAGGCATCACTTGTGTTACATAAGTAGGATTGCTTAAAAATGCCAAGCAGCTGATTCCAGAAGGAGAGAGTCTTAAGTTCATAAACTTCACCCATACAAAGGAGTAGGTTCAAGGTAAACCCATAAATTAATGCTAGTTAGAGAAAACAGTCTAGAAATTGTTTCCGTTCACAGTGATGGACTGAATTTCCCTGGGCACTGGGGCAAATAAGAGTGGTGAAGGGTCCTCGTTATGCTCTGACAACAGCAGGGCTGGAGCGAACTGCTAATAGCTTAACTGCATCCATTACAAAACCTATGTTTTTCTCCCTATTATGTGGCACAATTATTTTTGTGTTCAGCTTTGTGTCCTCTTCCGCGAAAAACAGCACTTGAGTTGAAGTGGCAAGTCACTCTGCGTTGAATATTCACCTTGGGTAACTTATGCACCTCTTTCCAAGGATTACACCAGTAAACAGCTGCACCAGTGATCACCAATTCACTTACACCGTCTTAACTCGATTGGAATGCAGTCCTCTTCTGCATCTGTCAATAAACCCTGAAGAGTTGATATTTACTGTTTCCTTTAATGCTTCAATTTGTACCGAGCTTAAACCCCTTTTCACAGAAAAATACAAGAGATACTTAAAGTGATTCTCTGAGGAAGGCTCTTGATATGCTAATTCCATGGAGCAATTTCAGTTGAGATGGATTTTTGCATTAATGTAATTACCTGAAAATGCAGGTGACTTTGTTCAAGTTTACCATCCTGATTTACACATCAAAGTCTAGATACAAAAGTTATAATGTAACCTTTGAAAACTCATCCATTAGAAAATTTGGGTTAAAATTAAGAAATTCTCAAGCTTTTCAAGACCAAATGTAAATAACAATATTAAAGCAGCACTATATAACCAATTAACCTATAAATCAGTTACATATAAAGCAATAGTATTTGAGTATTAATGACATAATTCTGGGAAAATATTCTGAATAGTTTGGCACAAGGACAAGTCAATGCTTCACAAATATAAACGAAACATGTTCAAGATATATTCAGAAACATACATAAATATTCATATATATATACTCAGTATGTGCATTTTCCACACACAGATTTAAAGCTCTCTATGACTTGAATCAAGCATCTTTGCAACCATCTACCTGCACTGAAGGGGCAGTGGAAAATGCTGTACAGATAAAAACCAAATTTTTCCATTAATTCTTAATTAAGAGGAAGTGGTTAGAAGGTATTCTTGTGTAACAATGAAATAGAGATACGAAAAGCAGAAAGTATTTCAATACTTCAGGAAAATAATAGTAATTCTGAGAACATTTTATTAGTTCAAACCAGCCAATCCCTGGATTATGAAGAAGTCTCAAGGAATCTTATGTTCACCTTTACGGACTTGTAAGAAAGCACATCCATGACAGCGGCTGTGGGTCAGCAGACTACACCTATCCTTGCAGAAGGCATCTGCATATTAATGAAAAATAACTAAAATAAATGACAACCACTCCCTCCACCAAAACTTCAATTTGACAACACAACTTCCTTATTTTCTAATGATGAACTCAATACAGAGATGTGTCTATGAGGACTTCTTGGGTGCAGGTACCTGCCACACTTAAATGAGAAAGTAGAATTACTCCACATCTTCAACACATACATAGGTTCTCAAAGCATCCTTCCTTCAAACTCAGATGACATACCTGACCTATTAGTAATGCTAGGAATGATCAACTGCTTTACAAACTATTTTCTTCAATAAAATCTAGACCCTGTTTTTCTGGGCAGGTGGAAGTGTTGGTTTTTAACCTCTCTTCCCATGCAGATGCCATCACAGACACAAGGCATCTTCAGTGTCCCTTGGTGTCTGCATCCCCAGGCTTTTTGCCCTGCTGGCATCAAAGGTCAGGAATGTCATTTGTTTGCAAAGGAAATATCCCTGGATGAAAGGTACTTAGAAGTGCTTTCAGATGTGTAAGAGCTGAATGACAGATGAAAGATTAGTCTACTGTCGCTACTGCTGTTTATTCTACTGGGTATATAAAAGCATTCATGTGCCATAAGGTCATCCCTGTTACCTCTCCTGAGTTTAAGAAAACAGCCAGACGTGCTATTTCTAACCTGATTTATAACTGGCCGAGAAAAAAAATAAAAACCTCTCCTTGGCCACCACATTCGATAAAAAGCCAAAGTAAAATAAAAAAGAATAAATCTAAATTTACGGCCTTATGGAAACACCTACGGAAAGGTGACATTGTTATCTTCAGTTCACCATTAACACATCCTTGAGAATTTCATAGCAATATATTAGGCAAAGTGAGTATCAGTCTGCATGCATTTTATTTCCAATTAAAAACCACTTGAAACTAGGTTATAAACCCCCCAGATTTCTACTGTAAAGTGCAGAGTTATTTTATGTTTATTCAAAAGAAGACACTATGCTGTTTAACATATAAAGCAATAAATACCTAATGTTCTAATTTTAAATGTTAGTTGTATTTTTGCCAATATTACTGTTTATATGGTTGCTACAGAAATGAAGCTTTTCTTTGGCCTATCTACATTTTCCAAAGATTAGAAAATCAAGTCTTTCTTTAAACCATGTGTTGCTTATAACACATCCTCTTATCTGTCTTAAAAAAATATAATCTTGATAGTATACTTTCTTTCGAAGCCTCTAACATATTGATTAGTTCTCTGTCGAAAACTTTTTTTAAATACTATAGTTGCGTTCTCTTAGACACTTGACCAAGTCTGTCATATACAATATATGAATATACATATACAATATATGAATAAAATCATTCTCATACACACAATTTACTAAATCACTATGGACAATCAGAACGGAAAAGTAAATTGAAAGAAATTCGTATCACGCAATCTTCGATTTTGATCACTTACTATCAAGCCACTGTTACTTTGCCTTCTCTCTCTGTCGTGAAATTTTCTGTAGAAAATCCCTCCTGGATTAAACTGAGTACTCCAAACAATCATGTCCCCTTGAAAATATGCGTCCATTCCAGTTATCCTTGAATTATGTTCAATATGTGATATTTGCTGATGAACATCACTGTAGTTGAATGGATATGCAAAACCCAGGATGTCAGTGTCATTAGCAACATAGAGAACTTGATCTTCAGAGCCTAGGGATTATTATAATGAAACAGAAATAAGGTAAATGTCAACTAATGCAAAATCAGTCTTTTTCACTCAAGTAGCTTTTTGGTGTTTATGTGGTAATTTCTTATGCTAAAATAATTTTCTGATTGTTGAAGATTGCGAAAATACTCTCTGGGCAATAAATGCAACTCCTCACACTCTGATACCAATTTATATGACTTCAATGTTCTCCAAGATCACTTTGTGACACCTAAGATTACATTTTAGGAGTATGTAATGTAAGAATTTGAACACTTTAAACAATATAAATAATAAAGGACGTTATGGATTAAGCTCGTATGGATTGCTACATTTTCTTAGATATTCTAGAGGGTCCTATACGTATGTATTAAAGGAAGACAAAGTTACCAGTAATCATTTCTTAAATTCCTTAGTTGGATACTAGAATAATCCAATCTTTAGAGATGGCAGTGAAGTTTTTAAATTGACTGAAACATGAGCAAACTGGACTTAAACTGCTACAGAACATGTGCAGCTGGGTCCTATATGCTCTCATTTCAGATTCTGAACATTTATGGATACCTGTGAATGGGTGGTTTAGATAGATTATCATCTTGATGCAGATGCTGTGAAGTATGTTGCTCGTAAGAAAATGCTCGCTGGCATCTGTTCTTTAAGTTTTGAGAAACTTCAAATTTTATGGGTACATTAGAATGCATTTGCAGTTTTTTAGTTTTCCAATTTATATCACATTTAGCCACAGAGAATCAATTTATAATGTTCGTCCAATACATTCGTACTTTATGACTATGAAATAACAAAAATCATTTGTTCCCTCATGCCTACTAAATACAAGAAGAAAGCGGAGTTCCATTAAAACAAGTATTAATGATGGAAAGAGGGAAACACTGGCTGTATTACAGCGGAAATGAAGCTTTCAAAAAATTCACACGTACCATAACAAATCCCTCTCAGCATTATGTCTGTGTTTACATAATAACAAACCACTATTGTGAATTAGTAATGTTAGTTTTTCCTATGCCATAATCTGTCTGCTTCTTCACCAATAATCAATGATGCTAAATCCTGATAGAGTCCACATTACGTATAGAGGAAATTACTAACAGCTTACTAACATGACCTTCCTATGGTAAGTTTCCTTCAAGAAAATGTGAACAAAGCAGGGAAGAAGGCCAACGGCATCCTGGCTTGTATTAGAAATTTTGTGACCAGCAGAAGAAGCGAGGTGATTGTCCCTCTGTACTCAGCACTGGTGAGGCCGCACCTTGAGTGTTGTGTTCAGTTTTGGCCACCGCAGTGCAAGAGAGATATCGAGGTGCTGGAGCGAGCGCAGAGGAGGGCAACAAAGCAAAGCTGGTGAAGGGCCTGGAGAACAGACCTGATAAGGAGCGATTGAGGGAGCTGGGACTGTTCAGTTTGACGAAGAGGAGGCTGAGGGGGGATCTCATCATGCTCTACAATTACTTGAAAGGACATTGTAGAGAGGTTGGTGCGGGTCTCTTCTCACAGGTAATTAGGGACAGAACCAGGGGGAATGGTTGCAAGTTGCAACAGGACAAGTTTAGGCTGGACATTATGAAGAAATTCTTCACAGAAAGAGTGGTCAGACACTGGAACAGACTGCCTAGGGAGGTGGTTGAGCCACCATCCCTGGATGTGTTCAAGTGTCGTTTAGATGTGATGTTGGGTGATATGGTTTAGGGGTGAACTTGTAGTGTAGGGTTAATGGTTGGACTCGATGATCCCAAGGATCTTTTCCAACCTGAATTGTTCTATGATTACCATCTAACCACATAGCATGGGTCTGCCTACACTGGATGGTGTGCCACAAAGAAGGAAGAACTGGACTTAACATGACATACTGTTATAGTCCTAGGACATATGTCCAAAACGTGTGCTCACTGGCCATAAGGTTCAGGTCAGGTGCACCAGGCATGCACAGAGATGTAAAAGGAGCCACAGCTTCTAACTTCAACACTTGTTCTGCACAGAAGACTCCAAGTCGAAGACAAATTCACACCACAATCTCATTAAATTGCAGGTGAGATGCTATAATCATGCTTTCAGTTTATTTAGATACAGACCCCTAAAGACTACATTAACTTTACTCAGGTGGCTGGCTAATTGCTTGCTTCACTTGTAAAATGATGTAAAAGTTACATAATACCCCGACTTAATTATTACCTCCATTTTGTGCAACTCCTCTGCCTTACAGAAGACAGAAATAACATCTATTTGTGTATATTTCTTTACCTTCAGTGGACCATGAGTCTAGGCAATTGATTTATATGAGGACTGCATTCTTAAATGATTATACTTAGAAAAACTCCACTCAGAAGAAATTTGTAACATTTGTGAACAAGACAAAGCAAAACATGTTAATTCCAAATATCACTTAATTTATTCCTGAAGTTCTAAAACATACTTCTAAGGAAAAGTTGATTTTTAAATAGAATGCTTACATGCTTGTTAATACATAATCTCTGTTTTTCTTACCTGTGTGCATGTTTTTGTTAATAGAGAAAGCTGGAGTTGGAAATGGACACTCATACAAAGTATATTAATTTACATGGTAGTGATAGGAATTTACTGCTTGCAAAAGAGAAAGGTAAATATGAGTGGTTTTGAGAATGACTTCCGTGCACTCTTCAAGAAATATTTATATAACAATAAACATATATGCAATACATTAGTGTTACTAGCCACATACATAACAAATGACTTAGTATTGTCTCTCTATTTTGATTTTTATAGCCTTACCTTTCGCTACGCAACTGTTGTGCCTCTCCTTATAATTCTTTTCGCATGCACATTTGTATGATCCCTTAATATTATTGCAGTGTTGCGAGCAGGTGCCAAATACCATACACTCATTGATATCTATGTCAAAAAGAATTGTAATTTATATATCTATAGTTCAATACACTATTATTTACTGCATTCAGAAAATTATGGAACAAAGCAGGTGAACAAAAGAAACTCATAAGCATCAGTTTATCATGCAGCAGCAAAAAGAAACCATCTGCAATTATCACTAACAATTTCTGCTGCAGTCGACATATCTCAAAGATTATTTATTTATTTCTCCATCCTTCTGATATCAACCTATTATCATTAAAGCTCAAAATCGACTTTGAGAATGAAAGTGTCTAATTTTCTCCATCCTACCTACCTGTGGTACACTCAAAACTACAAGATTATCCCTTACTGAAAAAGCCCCTGCACACACCTTTTTCTGAAGAGCCAGAGAATGAAGTTTTTCTCTGCAAGTATATGTTCAGTTTTATAGTCCCTCTGAAGTGATTTCCACTTTTTCTGTAAGTTACTGCTCACCCGGTAGAAAATGAATTCATAATCCATTCTTTGGAGAAGCAGATTTATCTTATTTTTTCTGATCAACTCTTTCATTATAACAAGTTGTTTCTTTTTTTTTCTGACCAGTGTGGTATCATCTACATTAGGACTACATTTTCTTTCAATTTCAATTTATTCATCTTCATTATTTTTAGTATCTCAAAATATTCTCCTATAGTAGCTTAAACACCTCTCACATTTGCCCAGTTCAATAACCTAGTAGATGTTAAATCACCCATTTACTCTTTCCTGTGTGACCTACTGTAGGTGATCCTGCTCTGGTAGTGGGGTTGGACTAGAGGATCTTTTGAGGTCCCTTCCAAACCTGAACATTCTATGATTCTGCGAAAACATAAAATCATTTAACGGTCTGACCTGAACCTTTCAACATTCACCACCAATGTTAATCTTTGATAAGTTCTCCATGTAAAATGTACAAGGCTACATCCTGGATATCCTTTCAGTCCCCTTTCTTGATTTCTTAATCCCATAAGCTACGAAAGAGTTTTTACTCTTCAGAAAAAAAAGTACACGATACGTATCTCCTCCACCACAGAAAATTGACTACACAGTTGACTTTTAATACTTTACAGCAAGGGATGATGGAGAAGATCCATACCTTCGCATTGTCTATTCCTCCTGTTTCGTTGAAATCCAGATTTACACTGACACAGTAGAGATGTTTTTGTTTGATTACAGTATGCATCATCTCCACAAGGATTCACATTATCTTCACATGTATATTCTGTGACACCTAAAGAAAAATAAAGCATCTAAAAACTCCATTGATAGATTTGCTTCACTGTTAAAAATGAGATCCAATCCAATAGCAAGCAACAAATTTATCTTTCTGTATCCAGTAAGTTTTAAACAAATATATGACATTACATTTTTGCCTACATATGCATATAAACTGACAGTATTGAGATAATTTCACATCAAGAATTTAATACTAAAATTTATCTTGTTGCAAATATGAACTAAAATAGAATCAACTTACAGGTAAACTACTTCAAACCCTTAAGAATGACTCTATAAAACCGCTACAACCTGAACTGATATAAAATTTCCCTTCTTGTGGTATGTCAAATAGAATTAACTCTTTTTTTAACAACAAAAAAATCACAACAAACCCCACTTTTTCATCCATGCAAAAACAACGCAACAACACGTCTCAATTATTTCTTTTCTGCTACAAACCCCCAAATATATCTTATCAATAACTCACTTATTTTGCAGTCTTGCTCATCTGAACCATCTCCACAGTCATCAAACCAATCGCACTGTAGCTCCATTGGAATACACTTCTTATTATTACAAGCAAACTCATCTTTTTTACATGGTCTTGCTTTATACGCGACTTTATCTATATCATTGCAAATTAGTAAGAGAAAAATAAATCAATATTTAAGATTCTTAGATTATTTCAGACACAGACAAACGGGAATGACCATGTAGCATTAAGCAACTAAGAAATCACTTCAAACTTAAGTTCTTTCAATTTGAGATTCTGATCTACTAACCTCCAGTTAAGCTTTACTGAAGGACAAGCAGATCTCTGTAACAAGGTTTGCCTTCAAGTTGTTTTCTTTGATCTGAATGCCTTGAAAGGCAATATCACCTACCGCAGTGATCTTCATCCGAGTTATCACCACAGTCATCAACCTCATTGCAAATCTGCTCAGGTCGCAGACAAACCCTGTTGTTTCTACATCTGTACGGCCGTGTTGGAGGGCATGGAAACTTTACTGTATATTAAAAAAAAAAGGAAACCAGCTGTTACCCAGCTAGTATTCCTGAGTCTTCATTAATGTCTCCTTACCAAAGGAATAAGCAGGCAGAGGAACACAGTTGTACTTGACATATGAATAGCACTTGACTTTAACTTCTGGTACATAATTGAAAGACACTTCAACGTTTCAGTTCTTCATTTAGAGAATGAAGTTATTTTGTGTGACAAAAGTAATTACGCATCTTTTTGAGAATCAGTAAATATACCGGAAATAAAACAAGGGATGTAGGAAGTTCAATGATGATCAATATTTCAAAGCAGAATAAACTTTTTTGCATCTCTGCATTTCTTACAAAAAGATTAATTTCTCACAAAACTCCTATCTGAAATTACGTGAATAGAAACAACAAAAGAAAACTATATCCCACATTTCAAGTTAATCTTGTAAAAGTAAAATAGGAAAAACTTAGATACATATGTCCTTATCTATTTAGGTATGTTACACGTAATTTCTCTCTTTACTACATAAAAAGCATCGAAAAATGTAACGTCGTACCACACATTTCAGCGACTTCATCAGAGTTATCTCCGCAGTCATCCTCACCATCACAAACCCAAAAATGTAGTTTGCAGAGGGAATTGTTGCACAAAAATTCATCAGTTCTACATATATCTCCCCCTGGGAGGATGAGAAGAAGACAGGAAAAAAAGAAAAACAGGAAAAGAAAGTCAATTCTTGACAAAATCAGTACAATCACTTACCATAGACTGTCTGCTGAGAATGTTACATGCAGCATAACTAAATGGACAAATCCCAAATGAAAGGGTTGGAGAGGCAGAGAAGGCTCTAAAAATCTTCTTCCTTGACCATACTCTTCTTTCACTTTATTTTCATGACTGTTAGCTTGGAATTGCCTATTTGGCCTGACTAGTAGGGGCAGTCATCTAAGTCAGGCCCTGACAAGTCATCAGCTAGGCATGTTCCCTTTGCATCTAGCCAGGAGGTACCTAAACCATCTTTCTGTCTGTAACTACCTTTGGTGATGCTGCTTTTCTGAAAAGACCTGGCTGGGTACGTCAGTAATGTGTGCTGTCAGAGAACAGTACAAACCAGAAGACAGCAACATGGTCAAACTTAAGAAAGGTCACTTTAGTCCAGGTTTGTTTCACATGAATGCCCAATTCTCCACCTAATTCCTACTCCCACCCTCTAAACCACACATGTGTTCAGAAGAGAAAAAGTGGTTGCAGTCCCTTAGCGATGAGGTAGCACCTTGTTCTTCTCTTAGCGTGGCTTGTCCAGGCTTGTAATGTCCCCATCAACTATAAAGTCTGTCATCAGGGAAGACCTAGCCATATAGGCACAGACTAGATAAGACTAAGTGACCTCAAACTGTCTTTTTTTGGTAACTTCTAAAATTTCTCATTAGGATATTTACTGAACACAAAATACAGCAAGAATAAACTCTTCTGCGTAGCTGCAGTATTGATTGAACACTGAATCATCTGACAAAATGGAACAGAGGGTGAGAGAAAATGTTTTAAACTGGAATGCTCAAGATTTAAAAACTAATTCAAGCTGGATTCAGTTTTAGTACGTGTAGGAGCAAAAAAGCATTTTGTTTCAAAATTATGATTACCAATCAGCAAAATTATGGTACCTCCTTGAAATTCATTTTCTATTTAATGCGTTTTTATGGTAACTGGATTCTCAGTTTCCTGAGAGGAGTAGAGTATAAAAGAAATAAAGCTGTATACCTGCAGAAGAGAAAACAATGAATTTTTATATGCTAGCACCAAAGCTCTCACTGTCACTTACCTCAGCTCATTACCCTGACCCTAACAGTTAGATCAGGCTCCACTGGATTTTCACTCACTCATTCAGTGCCCTGTTCGCACCCCATTAAAATCAACAGAAGGCTTTCTTTTGCTATAAGGGTTCAGAACGTTTGTTTCTTGGTTTTTGTTTTTTTTTCCCAGAAATTAATTTGCATAAGATACCCACTGTGTAAGAGGATGATGGGAACTCTCACACTGTGTTACCAACTATAATTCACTCTCATTGCAAATATAACTTATGAACATTAACAGAAATACTCTTTATTGTTATCCAAGGAAAAATACATGGAATTCAAGTATTCTTCATGATGAAGGACATGAATATAAATAATTGTGTGTGTAATCACAGTATAACTGTAATTCTAGTTGTGTAATAAGATTGAAAAGAGTTATGTTTATAAATATGCACAGTGGGCTACAGATAAATATTATGGAGATTGTTTTAGAATGCTGTAGAATAAAACTCCATTTGTGTTTGCTGTATTTCCAAAGAGGAAAAAAATTAGTTATCAGCGAGATAAACTGGCATTTGTTTCTTGTGATTGCTCTGCCTGTCATAATGTCTTTATAGAATAGATTTCTGTAACAGAAATCATAATTGTGACATAAATAAAAAGTATTATAGCAATAATCAACTAGGCAAAAGGCTTCTTATTGCATTATAAGCAATTTGCAGTTCACAGAAGCTCTATTATTTTTTCTGAAGAATAATATGGCCTTCAGATAAAATAAGTGTGTTACTACTTACTTCCACTTCATTGAGTTTTGAAGAGATACAGTCCAGATATTTTAAAAGTAGTTTTAAAAACGTTGTTATCTCAGTCTCCTTAAAACAATTTGGTCTTAAACACTTGCAAATATGATGTTTTTCGCTTTGCATCTAAGCATCTCTGGATCATTCTTCCCATTTTCTTCAATTTTGGGTCTCTCAAAATTAATCATCCCATGATAATTTTCCCTAATAGTAAGTTCTTATTTTTCCTAATGGTAAGTGTAGCTTAATAGACTTACAACAAAATAAGGGAAAGATATTTTACTCCATAACTGCTTGCTTCATCTCTGATTATTACTGTACTGCATTATGCTTTTGAAGTTACACACATAGTACGTGACAGTAAATGACTAACACAGAGAACTAATCACTTCAAAGAAAAGGAAAGAAGAAAAAAATCTTGAAAAACCAAGAAGCTGACAAAATGCTGCGTGAAATTTTGCCTTTGAAAAAAAATTCTTTGGGTGAGAATTCCTGTGTTTGTCACATTTATTTAATTACTACACTTATGAAGAATTTTGTGCAGAGTTACACTGCTACTTCCTGGCAGCTGAAGCAAGGTTCAATTAAAAAATAAATCAGCAACAACTATGAGAATTATATCAACAGATTATTTTTCAAAAATGTATTTGGAAGCTTAATCACAAGCATGGAAGTCTGAGCTTCATATGACTCAACTTAGGTGTATAGTTCTGTTCTTTATGGGGAGCAAGAATTCAAAATGTAGTGGTATGGATTCTGGTTAGTTGCAACATTTCATCTCCACAGAAATAAATACAAAACTTGGGTCTTAAGATTATTTATTTAACAATTTTTTGTTACATGGCATGGCTTTGTAATTTATTGTTGCCTATAAAATGGTGCTTAATTGGATTTATTACTGATTTCCCTGATGAGACAGAATATGCTTCCAGCAATAACACAACTTTTTGGTCTTGGAGAAAGAAACACGAAGAAGGAACAATGAGCTGTGAGTCCTAACTACTGCAACTTTTGTAACTACTGCAAGTTTTGCTTTGCCCTGCAAATCCTTTGTGAGGCTGCTACACTGTCTTTGTCAGAAGAGGTCACAGAGCTTTCATTTCATCACTCAGAATGACCAGGGAACCACTAACTTTCAACGTGCGTTAATAAAAAAAAACCAAACCAACAGACAACAAAGTGTTTTAAGGAAAAGTGTCTCTTGCCTTGGTCACAGTTTTCTTCATCACTGCCATCCACACAGTCATGGATCCCATCACACAGCCATCGGACAGGAATACAGTAAGCCTTATTTTTGCATCGAAACTGATTTTCTTTACATTCTGTCACACAATCCATCTGTACAAATACAGACATCAATCGAATATTAATGAACGAGAACAATGGACTGAAGACAAATCTAACAAAGTTTACCAATGCTTTTTTGTTGCAATACGTGTTGAAATGCAATAAAGTTGTCTCTGACAAAGCAACGTGCAATTTAAATAGTTACTGAAGTCCCAAGTGAAATTTTAACCACGTTATATATGTTCTGATATTACTTCTTTACATTGCTTAGTATTAGCAACAGAATAAACAGCCAAAATTACTTTTCTGAAGCCAACTACCCTAACAAGAAATGAACCTGGACACGATACCAGTTAGTGCAAACTGGCTCATATCCATATTCACCAGAACCAGAAACTGGAGTGTCTTCCCCTCCACTGTGCAGTGTTTGGCTCAGGCATCCTGCATACTCCAAGCAGCACATTTACTGCTCGGAGAAACAACAGCTATATTTGTCCTTTTTTCTTTAATTTGTTCCTGAAGGTGGTAATTTTTGAAAAAGGTATCAACAGTGCAAGATGTAGGAAGAGCACGACATGAAGGCTCATGGAGGTTGAGGTGCCTGTTACAACTGTATTCGATGAATCCAGAGAACAGAGGGAGAAAAATGTGACAAAAAACCTGTCCAGGCTGCCAGTACTGAGCAGTCCCTAAAGCAAACTCCCCAAGAACCACACTCAGGGTTTGACTTATTATTATTGTCAAATTTGTTTGACAAACAAATTTTTTTGCTTCAGAAGGCGGCTGCCGAGCAAACAAACATAATGCAACGCCGTGTAACTATCAGGGAATCAAAATCACGCGGCTGAGTTATCTGACAATGTTCAACAGATGCAGAACAAAAAACTAAAAATCCATTCACCCTTTCAATTATTTCCAGGCCTAAAACTGTTAACAAATTTCATACCAGACAAGGAAGGAAAAAAAAAAAAAGAAAAAAAAATTAATGGAAATTTGTCAGCCCATACCTCATCAGATCCATCAGCACAGTCATACTCTCCATTACATTTCAAAGACGCTGAAATACAGCCCCCACTTGCACACACGTACTCACTTGAAGAGCAGGTTGGAGATGCTGGTTACAAACACATATTTCAGCATTACGAAAAGGACAAATTATAAATAAATCTCTTTATAATTCAATATTTTTATCTAGTTAACATTGTGAGCAAGCATAGATTTGTAGCTGACCAGAGCTTTTCCAAATGTTCGCAAATTACAATGAAATATTTGACAAAAATGAATTGGGGCATCCAAAGTAAAAACTATGAAGGTGAAAGGATATTTGTGTCTTATCACTAAGAAAATTTTTTTGTGTGTTTACTTGTGCTTGGTACCAATAGTAACAACACACATATTTATAGAACGACTATATTACAAAATTTGCATCCTTTAAAATGGACTTAGGGCTTATGTAAAATTATAGAAGTGCTTATAATTAAATGAGCTAAATTTATGAGAAACCATGGTTTTAGAAAGTATACATTACTATGATTAAAATAAATAAACGTTAATAATTTTATTTAAAACAGCGATGGATTTATTTTGGTTGCATCGTGTAAGAGGGGATTTTTGTCATAGGCTTGTATCAGTTGTACCAGTCTAGACAAAGCTTAGCGAAATTAGAAAAATTCCTGCAAAAATAATTCCAGTAAAAAGGAACCAAAACCAGCAAAAAATTTTAATTTTCTAGAGAAAACATTTGCATAAGGATTAATAACCTTTAAATGAACACCATAAAGCAAAAAAGACCCAAGTATCGTGCCAAGACTTGCTGCTGTTTTCAGAGCAGAATTTTATACGCTGAGTATACATTATAAAATATATTTAAATATAATTAAATATTATTTCCCCAACAAGCATCACACTGCATAGCTGTACAGAAGCAGGGTTTTCAAAACATGAGTAGGAATAAACAATAATACATATATAAAAGATTAAGTATGTCAGGTTTCTTTGAGCTCCTCCCTACTCCTACTGCCCAAGGAATCGACTTGCAATTTATTTTCTCCTTGTTTCAATCTGATTTACTCTTTGCTTCATTTTATTTCTCAGCATCGTATAAAATAGTACCTGGTTCACAATTTTTCTCGTCATCTCCAAGCTTGCAGTCTTCATGACCATCACATTTCCATTTTGCTGATATGCACTGGCCATTGGAACATTGGAACTGATCTCTTGAACAGCCTGTTTCACAATACCTCTGGTACAACAAAAAACCCAAACATATATATATATATATGAGATCAAGAGTTTAATATAAACGTTGGTAAATATACAGCTGATCACAGAAGTTACAGCCTTCACTCTCCCACACAATGAAATAGAGTAATGCCTTGTGAAATAAAATATAATTGTAGATCCGATTCATGAAAGTTGGCTTGCACCCTTTAAGTAGGTGGGAAGCAGCTGAGGTCCAGCACTGGCAGGAAATGTGAAGGGAAAAAAGGGACAGGAAAGAAGAGAAAACCAGCAATGCGTTATCCTGGGAGCTTCTGCTGCTCAACAGTCTACATTATTTTCTAAAAAAAACAAAAGAAAAAAAAAAAAAAAGACCAAACCACTACTGTGTGTAGAAAAAGTGATTCCCCAACTAAGATACAAAGTATTTCCAGGATGGAAACGGGTCCCGATCATTGCTGGGACAAAAAGATGTAGACTGTTTTTAAAGATGACTTGACTTTATTTGCATGTTCTCATTTTAGTATAACTGTTTCAATAGGTTGAGTTTTAATTTAATAAAGGTATTTGTATATATGGATTCATGTGTAGAACTCCCATTGCTACTTTTTCAAATATTCATATGTAGGAATCCATTCTCCAAGAGTATAAAACTACTGATCTTCTAAAGAAATTTTTTGTGGAAGAAGCCTACCTCATCTGAGCCATCTGCACAGTCATAGTCTCCATCACACCAGAATCTTGCTGAAACACAGTCTCCATTTGCACAAAGAAAGTCTTTCAAAGTGCATGTTTGAGGCTCTGAATAAAGAAAAGTAACAACCCTAGGTTTATTAGCATCACCACAAAATATTTTATACGTAATCCCCTCAATCAATCAATGGATCAGCAGTAACCTGCAAACTATAAGGGTTATTTTTCTGTAGGATTTTGTTTCATAACACTTTATAACAAATTTCATTTATATATAGTACAATAATAATGAACATACTTTCACTGCAGTTCTATCAAACTTATTTGGAAAATTATGCAATGTTGACTACATAAATATTTATTTCAATGTTATGTACGTTATTACAGGTTTTGTGAGATATGTACCACTGACCAGAAACTCATTTTGACTGTTAATATCCAATGTAGTTCAAACTAATCCGATCTTTGGCTTTCCATCATGCAAAAGTATACCATTTATCACATGCCTTTCAACATGTGTGTGTGTGTGTCAAGAGTAGCTTCCCCTGTGCTGAGCATTCAGGGGAACAGTATTGAGATGGTAAATAGAATGCCTAAGAGGTAAGGCTTGGAGTTTGGAGTCAAATCCATTTTCTGGAAATTAAGTATGAGAGGAAGCATGACCATAAGCCCCTGACTTAAATACTGACAAAACTGTTGGATAGATTTAACAGAATGGCAAAAGTCAATACACAGGATACTTTTATGAAGAAGCACTGTCAGCGTGTTAGAAAAACACAGAAAGAAGCAAAAAAGTAGTAAGGATAAGGATGGAGCTTTCAGGTAACTTTAGGGAGATATTAGATAGGAAGAATCTAAGGAGCTTACAGATGGATAGGAGACAGTAAAGGTCAGAGGTAAGTGGGGTATGTTGTGATGAATGGGTATGTTGTCCAGCTTCCTGGGAAGAAACAAAACAAAGGGAGGTCTGAAGTCATTGTAGAAGGTGGGGCACAATAAAGAGGAAGAGAAGACACCAAATTAATTCAAGGTAGAGACAAAGCAAACAGAAGCAGGCTGCAGGGAATGAGGAGTAATCCTGAGAAGGTGAGAGTGGTTGTTCCAGCCTATTTACTTCATTGCCTGCACAGCTCTGTGCTTTCGCTACTGCTGCCACAGAAGCACTGGCGAGGGGACCAGTGTGGAGGATTCCCCCAACAGAGCACTACGTGCGTTCCTCCTGAAAATGAGGACCATTACAAAAGGCATTGGAGGAAAAAAGAAAAAAAAAAAGAGTTAATGCCTGAACTTTGAACCATTAGACTGAACAGAGGTACCAGCATGAGAATATACAAGACATGAGTTGAGAAGATTTAAGGTAAAGCTGAATATAATTTTTTTTCCTGGGTTCAAACTGTTCCAAGAAAGGAATAGCTTTAATTTGTCTTTGTTCAATTGATTAAAAAAAAAAAAAGGTTTTTTTAAAGTTCGTTTGAAGTTTTTAAGGGAAATTTCTTCTTTCAGGTTGGCGCAGTTTTTCATTCAAGTTGTAGTAAAGCCGTAACAAAAGCAGATCTACAGCAATTGCATCCTTTCTCCAGCAATGTTACATTTAAGTAAATCAAAGGTTAGCATTTATGCGGAATTGAAAATGATGCATATACTACTATAAAGTTTTTTCAAAGAAAGAATATTGTGTAAATGTTAGCAAATCACTGACATTTGATTCTTTTTGTTGTCAACAGGCCAGGAAGAGGAAGTCCACAAGATGATAAATTATGTAAAGGATATAATTTGTGGGAAAAGTAATTCACATGCAAATATAGGTTTGTCATGTTTCTATACTGATTTGCAAAATATAAGCAAATACATTTTCTGTACTGCTAATGAATTATTTATAAACAGAGATTTGATTCTAGAAAAACGTACACAATGAGCTAACTTCTCAATTCTCTGTTTGTGAGAAATATTTCTTCTGCTGCTGGAATACATCTCTGTGATTTACATATGAACACAGAGTGCTCAGACTGTTACTGAAAGGAATGAGTATTAATTGACTTCTTTATAACCAAGGAAGCATCTTTCAAATTCTGCTTTATAAAAATACTGAAGCTCGTTTCTGAGAAAAGCATTTTTTTAAATTATTAGGAAAAAAAAAATATTTGAACCACAGATTATAAGATCTATTCCTTTCACATTTTAAAGTCTGAAAATAAGCTCTAGGGCCAACAGACATGGCAGCAAGAAAAGGACCTAATGAGAAACATTTAAAATAATTCCATATTTGGGGTTCAATTTTGCATTGATCAGGCACAGATATTGCATCAAGTCATGAACAGAAAGGATCTTTTAGGACACCGATGTACTGATATAGAAATCTGAGGGGTAAAAATATGCAACTATACAAATACAGGTAAAAAGAGACACTAAGTTTGAACTTCATATCCTATTTTAAGATTAAAACTCAGTGTCTTTTTTAATCTGTATTTGTATAGTATAAATATGTTTGCTCATTATGACAATTCTGTCTTGTAAAGAGCTCTTACAAAGCAAATTTACAGAGAAACTAATCTGTATAGAAGGAAGAGTGGAACTTGTAGGTAGAAAAAGAAGTAAGAGCAACACAAACATGGGATAGGAGTACCTCGACCAAAACGAGTTAGGAGTGTATCTTGACCTCTTGATTCATCCTGGCATTTGGCAGTAGATCACAAAGATTCACAGGAATCAGGGGACATGCTTAGGCCATATGTGCTTGTGATGAATGGGTATTCACCAGATCTACTACTAGATGGTTGTGTTGGAGCTGAAACATTTCAATAAGCCAAGCCAGAGTATCCAGTATGAGACATCCACATAACACCATCGAAAGAGTATTATCATGGTGTGAGTTAACCCCAAAGGGCAGCTGAAGTCACACACAGTCACTCAGAAAGGTAAAAGTTCAAAAACTCATGGGTTGACAGTTTAACAGGCAAAGCACAAGTAAAGCAAAATAATAATTCATTCACTACTTCCCATTGGCAGGCTGGTATTTAGCTGCTTCCAGGAAAGCAGGGCTCCATCACATGTAATGTGTCTTGGGAAGACAAATACCATAACTCATGACATTACATGGAATGGAATGTCTCTTTGGCCAGCTAGGGGGAGGGTCAACTGTCCCAGATGTGTCTCCCAATTCCTTGTGCTCCCCAAGCTTGTGGGGTGGGGAGGGGGAAAGGCCATGATGCTGTGTAAGCACAGCTCAGCAATAACTGAAACATTGGTGTGTCATCAACACTGTTTCGGTCACAAATCCAAAGCACAGCACCATAGGAGCTGCTGCGAAGAAAACCAATTCTGTCCCAGCCACAAACAGTACATATGACAAAACTGAAGAGGAAGAAAACAGAAAACCACCCTTCCTTATAATTCTCCATTACAATACTGCTAAAAACAATAACATGGATCGTCCTGCAGAATGACTGCCTGCAAACACAAGATAATAAAAGTGTCATAGGTAGGGTCTTGTCATATATTAAACGTGGCATTAAATGCAGATTTTCTTTACTATCTACTTTGAGTATTTTTACTTAGCATTACATTTCACCAAAACAAAGATGACACTTGTTCTCTGTCAATCTAGGCTTAAGATCGGTAGGTGTACAGAAGAGAAGAACCCATTGGTACACATCATTTTATCATGCTAAGGTGGCACACTTGCCTTTGGCCAGCATTGACATCTGGCTGCTTTCAGAAAACTGACACTTGCCACCATCTGACTTGCACCATGTCAGCTGAGCCTCAGGCAACATAAAGAATGTGAATTTACGGCACTGTCTGCTCAAAATTGACTCAGGATGACATTACAAGACATTCCAGCTTAGTTTCTTTCAATATGCTGGTTTAAAATGTTTTCACCTAAACATTAAATAATTGCTAGCTCTCTCTGCCTTTGGGATACAAACTTATCCCAGGACAAAATTAACTAATTTGTTTTCTTGACAACTTGTGGGAGCAATGAAACAGCATTGAGAAGATTCTCCAGCAACAGTAATATTTTTACATTGATTGAACTCATGTCCTTCTACAGGATTATTACATTGGCTTTGCTTCAATGTTTTCAGTGTATTATATTTTCTTTAATTATATTCGATAAAAGATTACTGGTGCCACCTTTTCAAGAAGAATAACATAGTCATTACTATAGAATTTTCCTTTTTTGAGGTTCCCTGAGAGAGAAAATACTATTTTTGCTCTAATTTGTTTTTAAAAATCTAAATAAACCCCGAACGCAAATTCCCCCTTAAAAAGGTATTAACTCAGAAGAGTTAAAAATGCATTCTACACTTTGCTTAATGCTAACTCAGTATGGAACTATAACCTTCCTAATGACCCTTTACTTATTTGTGTGGGTTCAAATACAGTTAAAGAACAACAGTCTGTAAGATAAATACAGTTAGATAACAAAGTCACAACAGGAAAAACTATTTGTATTATTCCACAAATATTTTTTCATGCTAATATGTGGTATTTTTAACATGCATTCTATCTCACTTAGGGTAACTTCACCAGGATGCTTTGTGTGCGTGGAGAGAAACTGTACAGAGAAATGTAAATATTTGAGCTGAAGTTTTATAATTCAATGAATTCATTCTGCATTCCTGAGAAACAACTCATTTTCTGATATAGTTGCCTGAAAGGTCCTTTGTATATTCATGTACGCTATGAACAACTTATCATAATGTGCAATGTAATATATTTTGTCAAATGCTTTTGAAGTTCTAATTTTGTATATTTTTGTTTCATTACATGTTATTCCATAAGTGGCTTGACAACCTATAAAGAATTTTATCCATCTATTTCAAAGAACTGAGCAGTATTATGTACTTTCCCAATGCTTCCAATATTTTAAATTTTACAACTGTGTCAGCCTACTCTAATTTAAACAACAGAATAGGGGATTCAAGAGTCAAAAGTGAAGTACGCATTTAACAAACAAAAGAACGTGGGAAAAAAAACAACACCAAAACACAATCTATCGTTCACCACTCTAGTCTTGATGCACCAGTTGTGCATCTCAGCTCACTAATTCCATCCATTAGTATTACCTACAGATTTCTTTAACTGCAAGTCTACAGAACGGCCAAGAACAGAATATATAAACTTAATTATTAATGTGAACACAAAGATGGAAAGGTGGTGGTTTTCAAGGATTCAAATTTTCAAAAGATGATACAGTCGTTTAGACTAATGATGCTATAACAAGACGGTATCTATGTGATTTTTACATGATAATAAAGGAATAATAAATCTTGATATTTATAGTATAAATGAAAATGGGTAACTCCCAGTAGCATTAATAATCAATTACTACGTAAAATCTCCCATGAAGTTAAGAAAGTTTTTTTTATGTTAACCGTCACCCTGGGGTATAACAATAAGTCGCTCTCACTGATTATTGAGTTACTTACTACAGTTTTCTTCATCAGAATTATCACCACAATCATTCTGGCTGTCACATCTCCAGTGATCTGGAATACAGTTGTTGTTTTTGCACTGGAATTCATGAGGCCCACAAGTTTTCTTGTCTGAAATTAAGATGAACAACATCTACATCATTGCAGACAAAGAGTCAAAATAGGAAAGTTTACTACTAAAGAGTGACAGAAAAGTACTGCTAGGTACATTTAAGAAGGAGTAACCATCATACCGGAAATTTTACTTCCAGAAATAATTTATTTCTCATGCCACATTCTTTAATATTCCGATTATTACATTCATACCAAAAGAGATGTGACAACACTTTTGACGATAAAAGTAAAATATGGATCGTATACACTGTCATTTATAGTAAAAAATAAGAAATTTGGAAGTGCCCACGAATTAGTTTGAAGAGAGGGTATTGCGCTGAATCTTAAGAACTGCACTGACTTTTCCTTGAAATTTTCTGTATGATTACAGAATCACTAAATCACAGAATGTTAGGGGTTGGAAGGGACCTCTGGAGATTATTTAGTCCAATGCCCCTGCCAGAGCAGAATCACCTACAGCACGTTGCACAGGGTGGCGTCCAGGCAGGTTTTGAGACAAAGACTACTACCCCTCTGGGCAGCCTGTTCCAGCATTCTGCCACCCCCAAAGTGAAGAAGTTCCTCCTGATGTTTAGATGTAACCTCCTATGCTCAAGCTACCTCTTGTCCTGTCACTGGGCACCACTCAAAAAAGACTGGCCCCATTCTCCTGACACTCACCCTTTAAGTATTTATAAGCATTGATAAGATGCCCCCTCAGTCTTCTCCAGACTAAAAAGCCCCAAGTCCTTCAGCCTTTCTTCAGAGGAGAGATGTTCTAGTCCCCAAATCATCTTTGCAGCCCTTTGCCAAGCCGTCTCCAGCAGTTCCTGTCCTTCTTGAACTGAGGAGTGCAGAACTGGCCACAGTACTCCAAGGTTGCTTTACAAAAGATTAGATTGTAGTGCTTTCTCCTATGATGTTTCTCAAGATGACAGTCTGTAGCATTTCAACAATGATATTTCAAATAGTTGCAAGTATATTGAAAAGCACTTAAAACTATCTAACAGTACAAAACATAAAAACATCCCACTTGAAAATAAAGACACTGTTGTATTTTGCTTGAAACAAATTGCAACAAATCAAATTTCAAACCTGAAATTCATCCTATATTATTAAAGTACTTCTAGCAAAGTTTACAACCTCCCATCAATGTAACTGCTCACAAAATGAGTCCTAAAGACTAATGACAGGTTATGTTCTATTTATCCTTCCACATTCAATCAAAATACCAAGATCTAATCAGTAATATACAGAAGTCAGAGACAACATACTTTCATTTCAGCTACCTGTTAGGATGAAAAGAACACGCAATATATCTTTCCATATTCTTCATGAAGAATTATCTAGCTCTCAAGGATGCTAAGTAAATTTCCTAGCATTGCCTCTTTACACTTGTGAAGAAAGGCTGTCTGTTTGGGGTTTGTTTTTATTTATATATCTGAGGGTAGTCTAACATTATGATTACCATGTGAATATTAATCTTTCTCTTTGTACTCTATTTTTACCAAACACATAGGACTACTTATTTTTTTATACTTTTTTAATACTTATTTTTATAGTTATTTTTTATACTTTTTTTAAATTTTGTATGTTTGTAAGGCTCTCTTTTCTTCCCAAATTTGAAATCTTTATTCCTCCCATCAGTTGACTGAATTCTCGTAGAAGCTTACACTTGACAATGTTTTACAAACCACTTTTGATTTTTTTGTATTTCCTTAGTCACATTAATAAGAGACGAGGAAGACACTAGGATACTAGAACAGAGACGTAACAAAGCGGAACACTTTAGAAAGTTGGAGAACAGACATTTGATCTTCAAGAATGACTGATTTATTCAACTGAAAGGAAATAATGCAAAATTTTTTTTTAATTGTGGTACCCTGTCAGGCACACATGGGCCCACACAAATTTTGCCCTTGCTGTCTTCAACATTAAATTGCTTTACTTTCCTCTAAAAATGAGACCACATTGAAATGTGTAAGTTCAGATGGGAATGGTAAAAAGGACAAGAAATACTGATAACTCAACTTTCATATTTATCTCTTCAAATTTTTATTAAGAGATTCATTGCTCTACTGAAAAGACAAAGGCCCCTTCTTAGAAATTTCTGAGATCACCTGAGGCAGCTGCTGGTTGCTTGGGGTTCATCTTTTGTGTGTATGGAACTGGGATTTTATTTTAGTAATAATTCTAAATGAGCACAAATAAAATAGGATTAAAGCTTAAATGCAAAACAAACTCCAAAATACTACATATGTCCCCTAAAAGCATTTTGATTCGCATATCAATCTCTATGCATTAAAACACTATTTGGTCACTAACTGCACTATGTTGTTGTTTTGCGATTTTAATTCTGCATATAGAATCAGAGGATGGTTTGGGTTGGAAGGGACTTTGAAGATCATCTAGTTCCAACCTCCTGCCATGGGCAGGGACATCCCCCACTAGCTCAGGCGGCTCAAGGCCCCGTCCAGCCTGGCCTTGGACACTGCCAGGGATGAGGCACCCACAGCTTCCCTGGGCAACCTGTTCTGTGTCTCACCACCTTCACATAAAGAACTTCTTCCCAGTATCTCATCTAAATCTTATGTTCTCTCAGTTTGAAACCATCACCCTCATCCTATCACCACACTCCTTGATCAAGAGTCTCTGCCTAGCTTTCCCATAGCCCCTTCAGGCGCTGAAAGGCTGCTCTGAGGTTTCCCCAGAGCCTTCTTTGCTCCAGGCTGAACAGCCCCAGCCCCCGCAGCCTGTCCTCATAGCAGAGATGCTCCAGCCCCTCGCTCATCTTTGTGGCCTCCTCTGGACCTGCTCCAACAGATCCACGTCCTTCTTGTGTCAAGGGTCCCCAAGCTGGACACAGAACTGCAGGTGAGGTCTCAGGAGAGCAGAGCAGAGGGGGAGAATCCCCTCCCTTGACCTGCTGACCACGCTGCTTTTTACACAGCCCAGGACGCAACTGGCTCTCTGGGCTGCTGGTACATACGTGCACGTTTGTGCATGAGCGTCTGTGTGCCTGAGAGGGATAAAATCCAAAATGAAAAGAAACTCAGTTTTGATCAAGGATCAAGCTAGCTGTTCTAGAGGTTGGCAGGCTGGCAATGATGTTGGATAAAGGAAATTACAAGGCTTCTGAAGGAAGTTTCAGTTTATAGAATGCATGTTTCAAATGTCTCAAGGAACATATTTTTTTATCAACAGAAAAAACCCTACTTTGACTCTTTAGGCTAAAAATAATATTTAAAAAGTGAGGAAGCAGAAAGCAGTCATACATTATGCTAATGAAGACCCGAAATACATATAACCTTTAAAATAGATAATAATCACTTTGCAAGACTCGACACAACTTGATGTAAAGTACTAAAACTGCGAGCAAAGATTATGGTAATCTAATAGCTTCTTTCAATTGCTTGGACAGAAAGCATGAATTACCTCTACGTAGCGCTTTTTGAAAAACACCATACACCCGTTAATAAACATACAATTCTTAATTCTACTTCAACTGTCTGTGTCAGAAAGTAATCAGAGAAGACTGTGTTCAGACTACTTCTGACAAGTTTTTTCAGTACAATATCTCCAATAATGCAGAGTAGATGCTAAGCAAAATATATGATTATGTAGCAGGTAGGCAAAAACCCCCAAACAATAATAGAACTTTTGTATTGTAAGCATTGCAGAGACAAACTAAACAGCAACTAGTATTAACATCAACATACTCAGATCTTTATTATACTCTGCTTTCAGCTTCAGAATTTAATTATATCAAACTTTGTTCATAAAAATAACCACCTTTACATTTTTTTAAAAAAAACCCAAAACTATCAGAGAAGACCAAGCTTTGTTAAAACTACTGCTATAATAAGACCATTTAAACATACTTCAAATGCTAAAATTATGGAAAACTTTAAAATTCAATTAAACTCACTCTGTTCTTGTCAAGGCTTAGCTGCTCTATGTGTATATAACCACGTATAGCATTGAGTGTGAACACGGATAAATTGTCCAACACAAAAACTAAGAGCATCACAGGCAGCTAGCAGGATTTAAAATAAAAGTGTAGGTGTTTTTTCAGGGAAGTGTGCAATTAAGCTGTGGAACTCCTTGTTGCAACATGTTGTGAAAACTTTACAAAGGTTAAGAGAGACTGAGATCCATCAAGGGTTATTGAATACAGAGACATATTTGACTCACAGTATCTCTGATTCTCAAATTGTTAGAGGTTGGAAGAGCATCCCAAGGAAATTTCATTACAGATCTGCTTTGCCTGCATATTCTTCCCTGGATACTAGCTTTCAGTCGCTGCCAGAGACAGAATAAAAGGCAAGCTGAATCTTAGATATGACCCACAGTAATATTTATTCTAGTAATATATATATTAT